GCGGATCTATGTTATCCTCCGCTGGACCAGGCTGTGGCTCGATCCGGCTGATCGCCATAGCCTGGCGGGGCACACATCACGAAATGCCCTTATCTGCCATCTGTACCGCTTTTACATAGCATTCGCGAGATGCGCTTTGCGATCCGCTTACTTCTCCGATCCCCGTTGGAGTGAGGAACTTCATCTTGAGGTGATAAATGGAAGTGACTGCCCTGAAGGTTCTCAGCAGAGGTCGCCCCAAGATTCCATTAAAGGCCGACGGACAGTCCACGACCAAAAATTCAGTAACCCTAGTCACCTCGTCGTAGTCGCCGAGCGTGACTGGTAGCTGGATCGTCCCTTTGGGGATCAGGTGATCCCCTGTAAAACCGTACAGAGGCATCGAGGCTGGCTTCAGGTCGGCCTCAACTAGGTTCATTCTATCGAAAGCGGACTTGAACAGGATGTTCACAGCGCTTCCGTTGTCTACAAGCATTCTGCAGACATTATGACACCTTATCAGGGGCGTGATCACCAGAGCATCCTCATGAGGGTGGTGCAAGCGAGCTGCCTCCTTCTCGCAGAAGGTGATTGGTTCCTCCTTTCTGGCTTTTTGAGGTCGCTGCGAAGTGTTCATTACCCTGATCAGGTCGTGATGCGCTTCGCGAGCATACCTTTCCTGCGCTCCTCGCGTGTTTCCAGCGAGGTGCGGACCTCCGAAAATTATGTTCACATTGCTGTACCCGCTGCGATCACGACGCTTTTTCTTTTGCTCCCCTTGGTTTTCTTTTGGGGAGTCATCAATGTACTCCTTGAAGTGCCCCTTCTTGATAAGCTCTTCGATAGCATACTTTAGAGCTCGACAATCATCAGTGAGATGCCCAATATCCCGATGGTAACGGCAGTATTTTTTGCTGTTTCTGGCCGTAGCAGGAGTTTTCATTGGTTCGGGCTCACCGAGCAAGCTGGCCTCCATAGATTTGTCGAGGATTGTGGATATGGACACGTTCAGCGGAGTGTATTGAGTCCTGTCGCGGTCGCGACGAGGAACAGGAGCATAGGATTTTTTCTACTCGTAGCGGGGTTTCTTCCCTTTTCGCTGATCGTCAATGTCTCCTTTGCGATTAGCTCTCCTATTATCTCCCCGACCAGACATACTGCTGGAAGTACCGTGATCGCGACGGCGGAGTGCCGCCAATGAATTCTTTATTCGGAGATACTTTTCTGCCAGGTTGTAGAATCTGGTAAGGGAAATATCGTCCTCAGCCTGCAGTTCTTTCCACAGGTCGGTTTGCGGGCGAACTACAGCTATTATAAGTGATCGGATAAACTCTTATGGAGCGTGAGCCACCTTGTTGAGTTCCCTGTGGAAACGGTCAATGTAAGATTGCAGGGATTCGTCTCTTTCTTGCCTTATGTTGCTGAGGTAGCTCAAAGGCATCGAAAACTTCCGATTGGCTTGGAAATGCCGCAGGAACGTCGTGCTCATCTGAGGCCACGAACTGATCGATCCCGTCGGGAGCGACCTTAACCACCGCTTGGCGTGAGAAGTCAGCGTCACGGCCAAACAACGGCATTTTGCAAGGTCCGAAACCTGGTGGAGCTCCATCAGGTCGTTGAACTCGTATAAGTGATCCTGAGGATCATAGTTCCCATCAAACGGCCGCATATCTGGCATTCTGAACCCTGGTGGAAGTGGAGCAGCTAGCACTTCGGGAGAAAAAGGGAATGCAGAGGCGACCTGCGCCTGTTCGTTTTGCTGCTCCCTCAACCTGTCCAAAGCTCGCTATAACTCCTCAATTTGTGGTAACGGAGCCAATTGGGGATTGCTTTCACCCGTGCGAGTCCGGCCTTCTCAATTGCGGTTCAGGAAGGTCCAGAGGTCGGATTCCTCCTCCCCTCGGCCGGTATTTTCGGCCGCACTCGACACACGCTGACTAGAGGCGTGTGAAGGCGGTGGATTGTGCGGGGCATTTTCACGACCCTCGCGGTGGTACGAACCGCCCCGCGAGGTGTGGGGGCCACCCGCATGATAACAATCGGGGTCATTCTGCTGGTGGTGATAGGAATCATCGTGCCCAGCATTTTCGCTTGGGTTTGCCTGCGACGTGGCATGGGACAGCTCGAGATTCACTCTTTCGCCGAGTCTCAGCTTTGCCGATACCCTGCTCGGGGCACCTTTTGTGTTCGCTGGTCCTTGGGAGCCCGTAGGCTTACTTTTTGCCACTTGCTTACCCTTGCGCCTACGCGTTGCAGTGCTCGCGGCACGGGCTATTACCCTTTGCCGCGCTTTCGCGCGACCTGCAGGCGTCTTTCGCGGTTGTACCGCCCTAGCTGTGGTAGATGACATGCCTTGGTCCAAACGGTCCAACCTTTGGTTGACCGTCTGGAGAGTATTGTCGAACCTCTCCAGGTAGTTTCTGATGGCAGGGTCAAGTTGTGGAGCTGCCGGGACATCCCCCACAGCATTTTGTGAAACTGGAACTTCTTCAGTACGCTGATTAGCTTGCTCTGGCTCAGATTGGCGGGCCATTTGCTGTTGTAGGACCAGTAGGTCAAAGATTCTCCTGATGAAGGGTAGACGCTAAATCACCCCTCCTTCTAGCGTCAAACTGTTGATGCTTGATTTTGGGCACCAACTAACTGATACGTGTGCAGCGTTGATTGATAAAAAAGCACACGTGAAAGTGAATATAAAAAGCGAAATAAATGCTATGAGAGTTTTTAAAGTGGTTCGGATGCTCAGGTAGCAAGTCCTACGTCCACTGATTTGTATTGATATTGATAGTGTGGGTCAGGTCGCGACAGCGGACTGACTTACAAAAGGTTGGGAAATAGANGTAAATATTTGTTTGAAAGATGTACTTGACAAATGTTCTCAGAAAACATGATTTTAGTGTGTCTGTAGATTATTTGAGTCCTATGTTTTTACCATTGTGTCATAGCGTTTCTTTTGTATGTAAATGGTTGAGAATGCCCGAGGTCATTAAAACCTGCTTTTTGATCCACAGCCAAAGCAGATTCACGAGATAAAATGGGTGTTCCTTCTTACTGCAAGAAGGAAGGATGCTCGTTCTATTAAAATCTAGAGGAGCAGGGGTGTGGTTAAGTTTAAGGTTCGCTGCTCCAAGTACCTTTACACAGTCTGTGTGTTTGATGTAACTAAAGCCTGACAAGTTGAAACAGTCTCTTCCTCCAGGTATAAGCTAATTTACCATGAAAGGTGATTAAACAAAAAGGACCCATCAAGACTTAAAAAAATGTCCTCTCTCTCTCTTTTCTCGTAAAGCCCTCATGCTCCATCTTTCATTTTTCAATTATAGATTTGCTGTCATTTTATAGCATGTGAGATTATGAGATAAACCAGTTTTCATGTAAAAGATAATGAACCGCAAGTTGAGTTAAAAACTTTTCATAAAGGTTATTTTGATTCCTTAATGAATAATAAGATAATTAACTCCAGAATAGACTATAATTAATTAATATAACACAAAGTACTTATTGACATAATTAAGTTAATTTTTTAAGTCAAATTGATAGGACGAGCAAGTCTGATGTATAATTATGCTTTGGTTCTTTTCAGCATATTGCGGCACATATGATTTTTTCCAAGGTGGTGGTGTACAATTTGTTTCTAAATTAATTTGCCCCTGGATCTACGTTTTCCATAATACATTATATTGTGTTTGTTTAACTTATGTTGCAGCTGTTGTTGTTATCATAACAGTATTCTGGAAGTTATTTCTGAAATTTTACTTTTGTTTGTTTGTAAGTAATAATGGTTCATTATCTGGTCATTGTGGATATTAACCATTCCTATTTGACTGGTCCCCTTGCAGCAATAGTAATCATGCTGCATCATAGTACCAAACATGGAAGAGTTCAATCTTAAAGAATCAGATAACTCTTCCCAATTTGTGGAGGTAAATATTTGTTTGAAATATCTTTTTATGCAATAATATGATTTAAAATTTTGTTATGGTATTGTTTTTACACTTTTTTGTTGCATTATTATATTCTAATTCTAGCTATTATAAATTAGGATAATCATTTCGAAGTAGAAAATAGAAAAAGTGCTGAAGAGGAAGGGGCACCTAAGCCTGTAATGTTTTTTCATTCATTTGATATTCTTCTACAACACTACAAAAGCTATGCAAATAAAATGGGTTTTGAAGTTTTTATAAGATCTTCAAAGAAAGGAGATGATGGAGAGATGAAAAACGCGACACTAGCTTGTTCTTGTAGTGGAAAGTCAAGCAGTATGTCCAGAAATGCCTTTAAAATGCATGCAATGACAAAAACCGATTGTAAGGCTCGGGTTAATGCATCTGTACGTTCTGATTGGAAAATGGCAAATATGTTCAATTGTATTTGATCATAACCATGAACTGAGTAGCCCTGACAAAACTAGATTTTTCAAGAGCAATCGAATACTACAACCATGCATGAAAAGGAAGTTTGAAGTGAATGATAGGGCTGGGATTAGACCTAATAAAAATTTCAATTCCTTGTTAATAGAAGCTGGCGATGGTGAGAATTTGTCTTTCCTACAAAAAGATTGTAGGAACTATATTGAAAAAGTTAGAAGGCTACGACTTGGTGCTGGAGATGCTTCCGCAATGCAAAAATATTTTTTGAAAATGCAAAATGAGAATTCAAATTTCTTCTACACAATGGATTTAGATGAAGAGGGTCGATTGAAAAATGTTTTATGGGTAGATGTAAGAAGTAGGGCCGCATTTCAAGAATTCGGTGATGTTGTGACATTTGACACTACATATTTGACCAAGCTGTTTGGTGCTTTTGTTGGTGCTGATCATCATGGTCATTCAACACTGTTTGGTTATGGGTTAATCTCCAATGAGGACACAGAGATATTTGTATGGCTTTTTCAATATTGGCTTGCATGTATGTTGAATTGTGCTCCTAAGGCAATAATCATTGATCAAGATAAGGCAATGCAAAATGCAATCGAGATTGTGTTCCCTAATACATAGCATAGATGGTGTTTGTGCCATATAATGAAGAAATTGCCTGAAAAGTTAAGAAGTTATAGTGGATATGAATATATTAAGTTTTCCTTGCAAAATGTTGCGTATGATTCATTGACACATGAGGATTTTGAAGAGCGTTGGAATAGGTTCATTGATAAACAAAACCTTCATGACAATCAGTGGTTACTTGGATTGTATAATGAAAGACGACGTTGGGTGCCAGCATTTGTGAGAGATACTTTTTGGGCAGGTATGTCTACTACTCAACGCAGTGAAAGTATGCATGCATTCTTCGATGGATATGTTAATTCAAAAACCACTTTAAAACAGTTTGTCGAACAATATGAGAATGCGTTGTGTGATAAAGTGGAAAAAGAAAAGGAGGCTGATTTTAATCTTTCAGATCATGGATCCCTTGCATAAGCACTTATGCTATTGAGAAACAATTTCAAGATACCTATACCATTGCGAAATTCAAAGAGTTTCAACAAGAGCTTGCTGCTAAGCTCTATTATGAATTATCGTCTTCCAAAGAGATTGATTCCTATATGGAGTTTATAGTAGAAGAAGATGTGATGGTTGGAGAGACTCACCGTAGTGTTCCTTTTGTGGTTTGCTTTAATGAAGCAAATTGTGATGTTCGTTGCTATTGTCGACTATTTGAGTTTAGAGGAATTTTATGTCGACATGCAATTACAGTGTTGATTCATAAGAAAATTTCTCATGTACTAGAAAAATACATTTTAAGGCGATGGAGGAAGAATATAAATAGATGTCATACAAAGGTTAAGATTAGTTATAATAGTTGGAGCACTAATGTTCAAGGACAACAATTTGATAAGTTGTCTAATTTATTCAGCACTGTAACAGATTTGGCATCAAACACTGAGGATGATTGTAATATGGTGATAGAAATGATCAATGATATGAAGAACAAGTTGATGTTGAATGAAAGTGCTGGCAAGATTGATAAAAGACTAAACATGTCAGCCAATAATAGAACGAATAGTGAAGTTGTTGCTGGTACTTCTAGAGAGGGGAGTAGTAATATTCTTACTCCACGGGTTGTTCGTAGTAAAGGTCGTCCTCCATTCAAACGAAAGCAATCAAAAGTTGAACAAATTGTGCGTAAAGTAAAAGAGAAAAAATTGCGAAAGCAAGCAATTGCTATGACTTCGAATCCTCGTCGTAGAATTGGATTTAATCAAGCAACTCAGGTAAGTAATTTATTTTTGTTTCTTTATTTAAGTTGATGTTTACATGTGAATTCTACGAAAGTGGGGTTGAGTTGTTGTTGTATCTTACATAGGAATCAAACAAACTTGACTTACAGGAAGTTGGATGCTCGTCTTCAACAACTGAAGGGCAGCAACTCCAGGTGCTTACGGTTATTTAGTTTTCTTTCATTTTACACCCTATTTTTTTTTCCCATGAAACTCATTTTGTAATATAAAAATCATGTATCAAAATGATTGTAGGAGTTGGCTCTGGTGTAAATAATTATTTGCTCATTTGATTTCATAATCTTTATTGTTGTAGGCTTTGGCACTGGACTAGGTGCTTTCAACTATTAAGATGAATGATGTTAATCTAAAAGGCTGCACTCCAAGAAGTAGTGAAGAAAAGAGAGATGAGATATTTAAATCTTAAAATAATTGATAAGAAGGTTAATGTTTGTAAAATTTGTTATATGTAACTCTGATTGCTATAGATTCAATGTAGTATTGTGAATGGTTATATGATCCCATTAATTGCTTCTAGTTCTTGCCTTTAAACACTTTATTTGTGTTTTATGCTTTTCTACGAAATTCTGTAAAGGAGAGTAAAAAACATGGAAAACACTGCAACCTACGTAATGTATCTTGGTACACTTTGATTTGGAGAGTCATTATTGATTAGTGGTTCCATAAACATGCATTTCCAATTCTTACAAACATCTCTAATGTTTTAGAAGCAAGTATGGATCACTGTATCTTTAAACTAGGTGAAATGACAGCAGATATGTGCTTCTTATCTGTTTCATGCTGAGTCATGTGGATAACAGGGCAATGCCATCATATTATACTATTATCTCAATCAATTAAAATGAAAAACAACAATTGGATATTGTGGAATGATGCCGAATTTTACCAATTATCATCATATTACACATGCTGGTTCAATTAGTTACATTTAAGCATGTACGTGTACAAAGCATCTAACAAGAAGTAAGAGCACTAAAGATAAATGCCACAATCATAAAAAAAATTCCAAGCCTCCCCAAGAAGTTGCGGGTGCTGCCGTAGACATTGATCGTCATATCCTACAGAATGCAGACCGATTTAAAGTATTCCTGCAATTCGGAGATTGGTAGTTTTGATATCAAGGAAGCCTATTAAAAAGTTTGACCTGTCATTCCCCGGGGACAAATTTCTTTTTGATGATTGGACGAACATATTTGGAGAACAGAGCAAAAACTTTAGCTTCAGAAACATTCTTTGTCAGCATACCTACAAAGAGTTTGTGTTCTAGATTGCAAAGACAGCAGCCAAAAAAAAAAGGAAAGATCATAATACATGGTATGACTATTAGACATCGCCGTTCCTGTTGGTAGTATGAATATAAGCAAGTACTCAAGCTTATCATACAATAACACACAAATTTTCAGGAGATTATAACAATAATGAGCCTGACTCTAGCACATCCATGAATATAACTATCATGATCAAGTACTTAGCCCAAGCATGTTCTTACAAATGCAGAAAGATATTTGATATGCTAGTTGCAAATTCATGTAAGAATATTGACAGAAGTGCATGGAATGAGTCCATGGATAAAAACAAAAGGAGTCACAAATCCTAAAGGTTTTAATAATTGAACGTGCTTCACTATTTTATATCAAAAAGCACCAACACTCAACTTCTCAAAAGTTAATACATTTTCTGAAAAATTAAGCTCTCAAGTAGTTTGATCCTTGTGTTCATAGTGTATCGCAAAATGAGAATAAATTTGACAAATGAAAAAAAATTGGCTCTCAAGTAGTTTGATTATTCATTCAATAATCATTCCCAATTCACTAATGGTCTTCACATGATAATTGGAAGACAAAAACATATCTTAAATAGTTAAAGCAGCACAGTCGCTCCTCTGTTAAACTGGAAAAATGGTAGCACATGAACATTAAGACTATAACACATGGATTTGTGCTCCTCATAATTCACCAGAAGAAACTGCAAATCTGGGTGCATCTCTGCCACAAGACAAAACCCATTCACAATAACAATTAATACTTTACAAAATCATTAACACCAAAGCATAGACATCAAAGTTTCATACACAACATATGTATATTAATCACCTTTCAATAACCACAAAGGCATTTCACCACTATCTAATATAACAACTTTACTTATAGGCTCCCTACTCTGTCTTCCTTCAGCTTCAATCTTGCGGACAACATGCATCCTCGAAAGCACCTTGCCAAAGACTACGTGGTGGCCATCTAACCTATGAAGAAAAGAAAAAGCATAGATATGAGTTTGAGAAATCCCAAAGAAATGTAGACAAAACCAGTCAATGCACATTGGTGTTTGGTCCAGCATTTGCCATTAACAGCAGCCCTGTTCTCAAGGAGGAAATAAAAAGGAAAAGGTAGAAGAAGAAGAAACTTGTGGTTTTGTAAAGGATAGAGCGGTGGTGGAGGAAGACGATAGACGACGATGGTGGTAGAGGACTGACGGCGATGGGGGTGGAAGAGAACAGATTGGTGGTGGTTGTTTGGGTTTGTTATTTTGAAATGGAATTTGGGTTCGAATTTGATTTTGGGAAAGAGATTTGATTCAAGGGAAGGAGTGAAAATTGAATTTTAGGGTTTAAATTTTAGGACAGATTTTTATTTAAGGGAAGGAGGGAGTTCGAAATTCTGTTTTGGTTTTTGAGGGAACTGACGTGGTAAGGTGGTGATTTGGTTGATGATGTGACATCATCCACATCAGCTGCCATGTCAATCGATATGGGAGGGTTAGTGAGAGAATTAGTTGATGTAGCATTACTGATTGGTTTTTGCCCGATCTAGGCTGTTCCCAACGGAGTTGAACCCTTCTGTCACCTCCATCATCTTCCTCATAGTCCATACTCCAAAATCCCCTTGTTTCTTGACTCATTAACCCCTCCAATCGCCAACATTGTTAGGTTTAGGGTTTTGTTGTTCTTCACTTGATTCTAGCTTATTCCAGCAACCAAAATCCAATTGGACACTACTACTGCAACTAGCAACTCCCACTCTACAAAACCCCTCTATCCCTAGAAACCAATCAGTCGTTGTTTGCCAACCGAGAGGTTTGTGTTCTTTATCGCATTTTTGGTGAAATTGTGTTAACTTTGGGATTGTTTTGGAGAATTGGTTGGAGATTGAGAGCTTTAGTTATGATTGGAGGTTGATAGTGTTTGTATTTGGATTGTTTGTTTGATTTTGTTTCGGTTTTGGACAAATCAGGTGTTGGAGATTGAAGAACAGCAGTAGTGGACTGTGGGTTGTGGATTGATCATTGATTTGTTGAAGTGGATTTGTTTGTTTGGGATTTCTTGAGTTGATTGGTTGATTTTCAAAGTGTTTGGGTTTGTTGTTCGACAATAGTGGCTAGGTGGTGGTGGTGGTAATGGTAGTGGATGGGTGGTTGGAGATGAGATGATGTGAAGGTTGAAGAAGAGGGTGTTATTGAAATATATTTGAAAGTAAGATGGTTATTTTTCTAGTTGTATTAATTTGGGGTTAAAAAGTAATTTATTAATCATTGTCAAAGGCAGCATGGTAATATCACCCTTTACACTTATGTCATAACCTAAAGATCGCTAACGGTATTGGTTTAAGAGTGGGAATCTAGAATTTATGAAACTAGGGGTGGAAACTTGCTATTTCACCAAACCTTGGGTGGAAACATGTCATTTACTCTAAATAATACTTTAATCTTATAAATTTTATTTGGTAATATTTCAGTCTCTGTCACGTTTTGTTCCCTAACAATAGCTGGCCTCAAGGACCAAAATGCTACTGGTAAGGACCAAAACATTAACTAAAAGAATATATAGAACTAAAGTATACTTAAGTCATACCTCAGAACTAAACCTTATTATCCCTAAGTTGAAAGAAGACAATATGGTGTATGTGAACATACAATGTGTTTAAAATTTAAATACACGAGTATAGTATTATTAAAATCTGCAATGTGAGATGACTCAGATTATCATAGTGTAAAAGCTCATTAGCCAACGACTCATCATCCAAAAGGGGAAAGAGCTCGTAGCTCTGCTAATCGCCTGAACAACACATTGCCAATGGCAGACTCTCCCTATCGCTTAAGGTCAAATACAAGGGGAAAGAGTATAGGACAATTGTAAAATCTAATCTTAGAGCGGCTGTATACCAATAAATTAATGATAAGTGTTCTAACTTAAGGATGGTCAATTTTGGAATCACTAACCCTTCACCTCTACATATAATGCCTGATTTTGGAGCCAAAGAGAAATTCAACTCAAGTTTCAATTTTAATTTCTTAGTGTTCTTTTACTCTTTATTTCTCTTTTAATTAATGTTGTTGAGAACTTCTTTCTCTAGATTTTCTAGTACACTATAATTTGACTTAAGCATCAAAGGTTTACGCCAAAAAACCCTTTTGTTGGCTCTCCATGACTGTAACTTGTTTTATAGAGGGCAAAGAGGACCACTCATTGAACTTACCCTTGCTTGGACAAACTTTGAACTTGATCAGACTTAGACCTTCGATTATGAACCTAAATTCTAACAAAGATTGGATTAAGGACACGTTGCCACTAATTGATCAACTAAGCACTTGAAGTTATCGCCCAAGTAAAATCTACACCTTAAACTCGAACTTGAATACTCAACGCTTGTGTACACATCATAGTTAAGGTTCACTTAAAAACAAGAATGTTAGAATTGAGAGGGCAAGATAGGCAATTGAATAGAGTCGAAGTATGTCTGAGAGATATCTTTGAGAGGGCAAAAGTGTATTCAATTGAATTGAATTGATTGTATTGAGCTGTTGTGTATTGCATGTGAATACACAACCTATTTATACAAAAGTCTTATAGCTATGTAAAGATAGAAAATATTACAATAATGATGCAATCTCTGCAATAAAGGAAAGAGAATAATATCTAAAATACAATAGGAATGAGAATAATGTCACATATTCTCATTCCATATTCACATGTCAACATGTTAGAATTGAGAGGACAAAAGAGGCAATTGAAGAGAGCTGCACTATGCTTGAGAGATATCTTTGAGAGGGTAAGAGAAGCAATTGAAGAGAGCTAGAGTTGGCTCAAGAGATATCTTTGAGAGGCCAAAATTATATTCAATTCAATTGATTTGTTTATATTGAGTTATTGTGTATTGCATGTGAATATACAACCTATTTACACAAAAGCCTTATAACTATATAAGGATAGAAAATATTACAATAATGATGCAATCTTTGGAGTAAAGGAAAGAGAATAATATCTAAAATATAGTAGGAATGAGAATAATGTCACATATTCTCATTCCATATTCACAT